ACAATAATCTAAGTAAAAGAACCCTGAGACAAAAGATTGTGCTTAGGGGCCTGAGACATAGATAGTACCATGGTTAAGATGCTTCCGGATATGTTTCATCTCCTCATGCCAAATGGACACAGGAGCACCACCAGAAATGATTTCCTAAGCACTTCTGGTGTGGCCCCAAAACAAAACAAAGACTATGCTTATTTCCAGTATAGGTAAAATATAAACACCAAAAGACTAATAATTGTCAGGGGGTAAAAGAGGCAAGAATAAGGGATGCATGCCAGTGAATGTAGATTTTCATTTGAAGAGGATGAATGTTCTGAATTGAGATAATGGGGTTGCAGACTGTGTACACAAAGCAAGTTTAGCAAAGATCACTTGCCTTGCACGTGATCAACTTGGGTTTTATCCCTGGCACAACATATGGTTCCCTAAGTACGACCAGGGATGACCCTGAGCACACTCAGGTGCAAACCCTGTGCACAGCTGGATGTGCACCCCGAAAAAAAAGAAAATTGCACATCCATAAGCATAGGGGAAAAATCACTTAATTGTACACTTTAAAAAGGTATATAGGGGCCGGAGCAATAGCATAGCTGGTAGGGCGTTTGCCTTGCATGCGGCCGACCCGGGTTCGATCCCCGGCATCCCATATGGCCCCACAAGCACCGCCAGGAGTAATTCCTGAGTGCAAAGCCAGGAGTAACCCTTGAGCATTGCTGGGTGTGACCCCCCCCTCCAAAAAAGGGAAAATAAATAAATTGGCTTCTTTAAAAAAAAAAAAGGTATATATACGTGAATAATGTACATATATATGTGAATTCTCTCAATAAAGGTATTAAAAACTACAGTTAAGGAGCCATATAGATAGTACAGAGATCAAGGCACATCCCCTGACATCACCAGGAGAGATTCTTGAGCACAGAGGCAACAATAAGCCCTGAGACTGCTGGTTGTGCCCCACCCACCCACCCAAAAAAATAACCTGCAGTTAAGATCTGTGCATTACTATATGTGAAAAGTTTATCTTAAAAAAAACTTTTAGAAAGAACAACAGAACACAAAGAGGAGTGGGTGGAGATAGATAAAACAAAAAAAATTTCATTAAGCTATTTCACTTTTCAAAACTATTCCTGGAAAAGTTTAAATAATATGTAAAAATAAGTGTTTTGTTTTGGGGCCTAACAGTGCTCAAGAATTTCTCCCAGCTCTTTTGGGGTTGGAACAATAGCACAGCACGTAGGGCGTTTGCCTTGCACGTGGCCAACCCAGGATCGATTCCCAGCATCCCATATGGTCCCGTGAGCACCACCAGGTCCTCTAAGCTCAGGAATGATCCTGAGTGCAGAGCCAGGAGTGACCCCTGTGCATGGCCAAGTGCGACCCAAAATGCAAAAAATAAATAAATAAAAGAATTACTCCCAGCTCTGCACTCAGGATCATTCCTGAGCTTAGAGGACCATATGGGGTGCCAGGGATCAAACCTGGGTCAGCTGCATGCAAGACAAGCACTCTACCCGCTGTACTATCTCTCTGAGCGTAAAAAATAAAAATGTTTTAATAAGTAAATAAACTGAGCTGGAGCAATAGCACAGCGGGTAGGGCGTTTGCCTTGCACATGGACAACACAGGTTCGATTCCTCTGCCCCTCTCGGAGAGCCTGACAAGCTACCCGTGACATATTCAATATGCCAAACACAGTAACAACAAGTCTCACAATGGAGACATTACTGGTGCCCACTCGAGAAAATCAATGAACAACAGGAGGACAATACTACAGTGCTAAGTAAATAAACTAGTTTTCCCAATACCCATTTTGTTGTTTTGACAAGAGGCTATTGTCTTCTTTTGTAATGTTATATAAAGAGAGAGATGAGGGTCTAGAGCAATGGTACAGCAAGTAGGGTGTTTGCCTTGCATGTGACCCACCCAAGTTTGATCTTCAGCCCCAAGTCGACCTGGAGTGATCCCAGAGGACTGCTGGGTGTAGCCCATATAGAGAGAGCACAAAGAGAGAGAAGGAACAGAGAGAGAGAGGGTGAGAGGGAGAGAGAGAGAATAAATATATGGCGTTTAGAAGTGAATACTTAAATCTTTAACAGGTAGAGAATTTGAATCACTTTAGTTCTAAGATAACTTTTTCTTAGGAGCTGGGGGGAGCCACACCTGGCAGTTCCCAGGGGACTATATGTGATACTGGGGATTCAAACAAGGACAGCTGCTACTCACAGCAGCATGCAAGCCTTACCTCCATATTCTCTCCAACCCTTAAGATAATCCCCAAGGTTTCCATGGTTACTGGATGCAATAATTCTTAATAAATAAATAGATGTAGTAACCTCTAAAGCTGTTCCCATCCAAGTCACTAAACTATGCAGTCATTTAAAAGGGGAGGTGGGGTTCCTGTTGTTTTTTAATTAATTTATTTTTTTATTACCAATTAGGTTTACAAAAGTGGTAACAGTTCATGGCCTCAATGTACGAAATTACTGCACCCCACCAACAATGTGCTCATGACCCTTCCACAAGTCTCTATGTTAACTCCAGTGAGATCTTCATTCCCCGGTCTCCCTTCCCATTATTTAAGTAGTTTTGTCATCTAAGGTCAAGGGCTGTCACTGCTTGTTAATGCTTATTCTTTTGTTTCTCTATATTACATAAATGACTGAGATCATCAGTTATTTGTTCTCCCAGTAACTTATTTAACATATCTTCCAGTTCCACCCACATTGCTGAGAACTGCATTTCATCGTTAAATTTTAGTTTTAGTGAATTAAGTCATAAATTCAGTTCTTGGCCTCACCAGCTCAACAATGGTTCAACATTCACACGTGACTATAGGGTCCCATATTGGATAGCGTAGATATAAATCATCATCACCACAGGAAGTTCTATTGAACAGCACTATCCTGATACACTGAAAATACCCACAGGGAAACTTCCACATTCCAACTTAAGGTTGCTATGTAGCCACAAATAAGCAAAGAACATTCATGAAAGTTTATAAACAAAAACAGAATTACATATTATTTTTAAAGCCACCAAACTACAGACATGGGGACTGGCAATTCCTTTGAGGCAATTTTTCCCACCTGTTACAATCACTACTTTTTTTCTAAGTAAAAAAGAATGTGTTAAAATGGAAAGAAAGCAGATATCCTTCAGTCACATGTCTAATAGAACAGTATCACTGTAATGCCTATCAACTTACAGCCCACACAATCCATAGCAAAACAGAGTAAAATACCTTTCATAACTAAGTCTTCAAGTCAAATAACTAAAGATTATTAAAGTTTTTCAATTATATCAATTTTAATCAATGTCTATATTCTAAAATGTATGTGCATATCATCCTGATAAGTATAGAGTTCTGTTAATGCTCATTAACATGAATAAGTAGTATCAGGAAACAGGTGCACTCTTAATTCAAATATCTTAGAATATATTTAGCTCTTAAAAAACTGAAGGTAAAAAAACTCTAATTAGATCATATCGTTTTTATACTTAGAAACCTAAAACGTCTAATTGTTTCACCTTGTGGTCCTCTCAAGCTATCACTGCTGCAAGTTCTTGGGAGTGTGAGAAACATTCCAAATCCAGTACAGAGTATGTGAATAAACTGGAAGTCAACTGTTTACCAAAACTTCTGGGCCCCTAGAGCTGTGAGTCAAAATGGCTCCATTTCAAGTATTTAAACCTTAGAAAAGGCCATTTTAAGAATTTAAGTACAAGTCAACTTAACCCACATAAAATAAATCCAGTCTTTGCAATGCTCTGGGGGTGGGGTAGGGTGGGATGAGGGGGAACTCTCAGGAGAATAAAAACAAGAAAATTGAAACCAGTCCGTAAGCAAGGTAGGTACACTGGAGGGTCAGATGGAATCAATCTGCAGGAGAAAGTTACTCCTACCGGCGCATCTGGAGTCCAATTAAATCAGGCACTATTCACAGCTTTCTCGGGGAGTACTGACCTCACATGCTGCTCTCCTATGTGATACACGGGCCTACCCAGACGTCGCAGCCTGTGAGTATTAAATCGGTGCTATCCTAAACCAAAATTAAATCCACTTAAAGGAACAGATTAACATTCCCTAACCCTTTCCCCATTGTTCACGCAACCTCTTAGGTGGGTCCAATCACCCCCAATAAATCCATCTGTTTCCTCGGGCTGCTTCCAAAGGAAAATCTCTGCTTAGTAACCAAGGACACCAGACGGCACAGCCACACAGAGTTACCCATTCTGGCAGTTACCAAATAATGTAAAGGAAATTGTCGCCAACTAAAGGATCCCAGAAAGCCGTGAATGACCCCGAAGGTAAAAAATAGTAACAATAATAACGCACGGTAACGGACACGTCCCCCCGCGCCCCTCCCCGAGCCAAGCTGTGGGCTGCATTTCAGTATCTCCAGGCATCTGGGGGTGGGCTGCAGGGGTAAGGTCGCTCTCCCAGCACCCCCACTCCCCTTCCCACTGGGGCTCCCTCCGAGCCGGCAGGGGCTGCGGCCAGGTTCCGTTCGGTGTTTTCCTGCTCCCTAGCCCCGATGCTACCTCCCGCGCGGTCCAATCCCCAGCCCTGGGCGTCCCTTCCCTCGGCGCCCCACATCGCCCCGCTCCGTCCCCCGCCGGGTTCATCCTGCCCCCCTCCAGCCGGCTCCCGCCCCCAGGTTCCTTCCTGGCCCTCCAGACAGAGCTTCCCCGCCGCGGCGTGCCGTCATTTTTCCTCCCTGCGCTCCGCTCACCCCCTTTTAGCCCCGCTTCCCCCGCGGTCGCCGGCAGAGCGCTCCTCCGGCGTCCATGCGTTTCGGCGCGCACACACACGCACACACAAACGCACGGCACCCACAGACACACACACGCAAACCCCCACCCCCCACCTCGAGCCTCCATCTTTCCCTTTTAGACTTGTTTCCTTTCTTCCTCATCCCCACCCCCCCACCACCACAGGCACACACACGCACACGCACGCACACACGACCGCCAGAATCGGCTCTCAGGCCAAGGTCTCTCACCTCATTCGGTCACTTCAGTGGTGCCAACCGCTTCATACAGGAAAAAAAAAAATCAACAGCCACCAGCGATCACGTCCCTGTGGGCGCTCTCCCCCCCTGCGAGTTCGAGCGCTGACTGGGCACCGACCCCGCCGGGCACCCCGCACATGCGATCGCACAAAACCGAGGTGCAGGGGACGAGGGTTGGGAGGAGACTGAGCGTTCTTCTACCGGCCTCCAACACAAGCCACTTCGCTACAGCCCTTCGCCATTTTGGTTTCCCGCGGACTGCCGGTGCATTCTGGGATCGCGGAACGACTCCGGGGCCGAATGGCAGCTCTCCAGAGCCTCGAGGGGGCGGGGACTGGGCGGTGAGCGCGGAAGGACACCGCTGCCTCGGTCCACGGCCAGGCCTGAACAAAGAGGGACTCTTTAACGTCGCGGTGGGGATAAGTACTTCCGCCGTCGGCGCTAACACAATAGTGAGCGCTGCGCGCTGGGCGGCCGCGCTTTGGTGCGGCTTCTCTTAGGAAGGGAAGCGTCCTGCCTGCTCTGTCCTTTAGCGCTTTCCTGCGAGAGAGGACTGCGCTTTCTGTCTCTCTTCGTGCAGGTTTTTGTTTTGTTTTGCTTTTCTATGTGGAGTAGACCTGAGTTAAAGCTCGCTTCTTCCATCTTCATCCCGAGGCCTGCAATTCCAGTTTCCTTCAGCGGGGAAGGAGATCCTGGATGTCAGAATTAAGTGTTGTTCAGCCACCCGCCACCGCATATGGTCCCTCGAGCACCGCCCGGAGTGACCTCTGAGTAGAGAGCCAGGAGGAAAAACCCTATGCACTGCCGGGTGTGGCCCCGAGACCCATGAAAGAGCGATTTTTTTTTTTAATTTCGTCGAATTCCCAAATTCCTTTTTGTATTCTGTTTATACGGAAGATTTTTTAGACATTTTCCCCAAATGGCAAAAAGATTATTCTATTTTGATGTACATCATTGGGATAAAAAAATGAATAATTGCGGGCAGTTTGATATATATATATGTATATATATATATATAGTTTATTTTAGGAGTACGGAACTTTTCCTGTTAGGGCAAATTGAACCTGCCAGCATTCTGCTCCGACAGCAGGGGACCCAAGTGACAAACTAAGTGCACGCTAGTCTTTTTCTTTAATCTTCTTGGAAGCAACCCGGCTCCCATTCATAGCCACGTGTGACCCTGGTTTATAAAGATCTAAGTATTTTTTAAAATATATTATAAAATATATTTGTTTCCTATTACATCACGCGGATAATTAATATGATGGGTTCTCCAACAACTCCCCCCACCACCACCACACCTTTCTCTAAGAACACATTGGCACCTAAAATCACCTGGCTCATATTTCAAAGGGGTATCCTCAGTCTATGATCTCAGTATTTGGCAAATGAGCTGATTTTACCTACAACTTTTGTTATTTTAACTATCCTAGTCAGCGCTGGGGAAATAGTACAGGTGGCATGGTGTTTGCCTTTTGTTTGTTTGTTTGTTTGTTCTTTGTTTTTTGTCTTTAGACCACACCCAGAAAAGCTCAGGAGTTACTCCTGGCTCTGCCTCAGCAATTACTCCTGGCAGTCTTCAGGACCATGTGGGGTGCCCGGTAGGCAAATGCTCTATCACTGTACTATTTCTCCAGCCCGTAAGGTGTTTGCCTTAACATATGTCACTGACCAAGGATAAGCACTCAGTGGTTCCCAGAGACTTGCCAGGAGTGACCCGACCCCTCAGAACAGGACTGGAAGTAATCCCAGAGCTCCCACAGGGTGTGGCCCCCAAGCCCAAAATAAACACATTCCTAGATATTCCAGTCAATTCTTTGAGTCCTGTGCTTCTCTTGACTGGTTTTTCCTTCCTTTTTTTTTTTTTCCTTTTTTTCCTTTTTGAGTCACACCTAGCGATGCTCAGGGGTTTCTCCTGGCTCTGCATTCAGGAATTACTCCTGGCGGTGCTTGGGGAGCCATAATGGGATGTCAGGGAGCAAACCCAGCTCTGCCGGGGCAAACACCCTACCCACTGTACTACCACTCTAGCCTTTGACTGGCTTTTCTAATGTTACCTATATTGTGCCTTCACACTGCAGTTTCACCTTGCCATGCCTTTTGAGTTTCACCTTCTCTGATGTCTAATGTAGTTGCTCACCAATTCATCTCCATTGGCCTTCACTCTTTTGTTTGTGAAGGTCTGACTTAAACAAGAAGAGATACAGTCCAAATTTCAATAAAAATATTCACAAACAGGTATGTTTGGGGTGCAGTTAAGCTTAATCATAGAGCATCCATTTGGGGGAACATTTGGTTTAAAAGTTATGAATGTTTTTATCAAGTGGTCATCAAGCCTAACAGTATCTTCTGTGGCTTATTACAATACTTTCAACTTCAGAAACACAAAAATTTTAAAGTCTTACTAAAGAATCTAAAGTGCCATAAATGATATGAACAAAGAATATACATGGATATATATAACACAATAGAATAGCACTCAACTATTTTTTTTTAAAGATGACATCTTGGCTGGGATATAACTCAGTGGTAGAAGACTCACCTTGCATGTGTGAAGACCTGAATTTGATCCTTGGCAACACACACAAAGATAGACTCTTGCCATTTACAACATGGATGGACTTAGAAGATAATCTGCTAACTGAATTAAGTCAGGTGGAGAAAGAACTAATGGTGTTCTTTGACCTTTTTCTAGCTGAGGACCAGCACCTGTTCTGCATCCCAGTCCACATAATCACAGACACCTCAACCAAGGTGGTGGACCAAGGGTTTCCAATCTTTCTATACCTGCAGACTGACTCTGATCCATTGATCAGTGGTTGAAGGCTACTGACCTTCACCAAATGATTTCACTTGTGTTATATATATGGAAAAAAAAATAGGATCACCCTTGGCCCAGAATATAGAGAGAACAGAGAAGGAAAGTTCTCAAGGATGGGGGCCAAGGGATGAAGAAGAGAGAGATGGTCAGAAGCAACAGAGACTAGAGATCAAGCGATCTAAGTACACCAGTAATATAAAGGAGCAGCATAACTAAATATCCAACCCACAGAGTCAACAAACTGAAATCAAGAGATCCAAACTTTAACATCCAAAGTTTAAAATGTGTCTGTAAAGATGCAGGCAGAGTTGGAAGGTTAGGTGGGAGGGAAACTGAGAACCCTGGTAGAGGGAGAAAGATACTGATGGTGGGATTGGTGCTAGAACATAGTATGTCTAAAATCCAACTATAAATAACTTTATAAATCATGATGCATTGATAATTTTTTAAAAAAGTAATGAACCAACAAAACAAGAACAAGTTTTAGCCTATAAGATAAAATTAGTGGTTACCAGAAGGGATGCACAAACCAGAGTAAAGGGGTAATTGTATGATGAAGAATAGAATTGGTCTTTAATTTATTTATTGGTTTGGAGCCATACCCAGAGGTGCTCATGGCTTACTCCTGGCTTATGCTCAGGTATCATTCCTTAAGGGGGATGACTGCAGGGGACCATATGGGGTACTAATGATAGAACCCTGGTCAGCAGCATGCAAGGCAAGTACCCTACCCATTATACTATCTCTCTGGCCCCTAGAATTGGTCTTTCAGAGGTAAACTAAATGTGATATATATTCATGGTGATTTATACTGATACACATCTGAAATTTTAATAATGCTATCGTACAATGTTATTACTGTAGCACTGTCCTCACATTGATCATCGATTTTCTTGAGCGGGTCCAGTAACATCTCCATTGTGAGACTGTTGTTACTGTGTTTGGCATATCAAATACGTCATGGGTAGCTTGCCAGGCTTTGCTGCGGGCAGAATACTCTCCGTAGCTTGCTGGGCTTTCTGAGAGGGGCAGAGGAATCGAACCTGGGTGGCCATGTGCAAGTCAAACACCCTACCTGCTGTGCTATCACTCCAGCCCTTTTTACTTCAGTTAAAAAAAATTCAGTAAAAAAAAAGTTACTTCAGTAAAAAAAAAAAAAAATTTAAGAAATAAAGTTCTTCCTTACATGACTATACAATTACCTTCCTGTAATTTCCATTTACAGGTCTAATTTTGGGTCTCTATAGCTGCGTGATTCTTAGAGTGAAGTCAATGAACCTGTCTTCCTACCCTTCTACTTATTTTCCCTTGCCTTTGTTGTTGCATACTCTGTCATGACACCAGAGGTCCCAGACAACAGAGCTGCAGGGACCCTGCTAAGTGCTTGTGAGATGTATTTTCCTCTTGAGCCTTTCCTTGTCTCTGCCCCCTCCTCCCCTTTTTTTTTGGCATTTTGGGTCAAACCCAGTGATGCTCAGGGGTTACTCCTGGCTCTACACTCAGGAATTACTCCTGACAATGCTCAGTGGACCATGCGGGATGCCGGGGATCGAACCCAGGTTAGCTGTGTCCAAAGCAAATGACCTACTCACTGTACTATCACTCTGACCCCAACCCTTTCTTTTTTGAAAGAACAGTATTTTTATTTAGAGAAATATGAAGGGAGAGAGAGAGAAAGGAAACTGGAGTGAGAGAGAAACATTTCAAAAGCAAACAAAGTCTTCTCAAGAGGAATAAAAACCTTTATTTTTAATTTATTGTTTTTCTATGTAAGCATGAATTTAAAAGATGTGTTGATCTCATTTAAGGAAACCAGGTATCCAAGGAATCAAAGGTACCAATAAAACCATAGCAAAGATTCAAAGAAGTAACTGTGGTCCTATTGAAACAACATGTAGTGAAATTTAGGCTTTATAAAAAAATTAATGTTGGGGGACCTGAGCAAAACTACAGCTGATAGGGCATTTGACTTGCACATGGCAGACCTGGAATGATCCCCAGCATCCCGTATGGTCCCCACAGCATCCCCATGCATAACTCTTGAGTGCAGAGTCAGGAGTAATCTGAGCATTGCTGAGTGTGGCCCCAAAACAAAACAAAACAAAACAACGTAATTCCAATAAGCAAAACTTATCCTTTAATATTATACATTTCTATGCTAGTCATTTATAAAAGGTCTGGTTTAATCTTCCCTTCTGACAGTAAAATTATACTCTCTCCCATCCTTGAAATGAGATGTATTCATATAACCTGCTTTAACCAGTAAAATAGGGAAGGAGGACTAATCTCAGCACCACGGAGTCACCCCAATGTTAGCAGGGTTTTCAGGTTGAGATCTTTGGAGCCTTCTTGGGATGGGAGAGAGCCAAGTGCTCTGCCCTACTGAGGCCCCAGCAGCCCCGCCCACACCCTCCATCGTATAAATGGACCAGCTTTA